GTACTATAATATATCTCGATCGACAACTACATTATTACATTTCATGAAAAATGAATTTGTATGATAATAGGAAAGTGTTCTTAAGTTATTAGAAAAGGAAAAAGAAATTTATATAAAGAATGTGCATGTACTAAACTAAATTAATGTATACGGAAAATTTTATTTTGTGTCTCATATAACTGACACTAATTGTATTAGGCACATTTTTTGTCTCACAGTTTTGTGGATCCAAATTTTTGTGGATCCAAAATTATAAAATTGGGGTCCATAAATTTATAAGACAAAAAGGAGCCTCGCACAACTAATATCAGTTGCGTTTGCGTGAGACTCGCAATAAAACTATTCAATGTATACATATGGTGAAAAGTGGGCAGGATGGATGAGTCATGTGTGATGTGACCGACCTTTTGATTCAATGAATTCAACTTAATTTCATTCAAAACCACCTTTGAATTGAAGCAATTAAGATTCTTAGCTTGTTCCTCGTACACCACCTATCGACCTTCTTGCATTAAATTGGAGCTCTCTTTTGTTTTTCTCATGAACAAAGAAGTAAGGACGTGGAGCTAATATTTGAAATTTATGGATTCTAAATTTATTGTATATGTCTTAGTTATTGGGTTCACAATTAAATATTTTTTTATATATTTAATAAATTTTCTAGTATATCTATATTGTTTAAGCAGAAGTGACAAAGTTCGGCCAAAACCACACTTAATAAACTAGCTCCACTTCTGCCACAAGTATACAACAATATAATTTTAAAAAGACCAAGGTTAGCAAGGGCATCTTTTTTAACGTTCATTTATTAGGAAATGAATTTTCGATATTATGTCTTTTACAACGTTTATATTGACAATTTCAATATGTCTATGATTATGCAAGAACATGCTCACGGCATCCGACTAGCTTGACTAATGACGGATTTTGGAATCTTGGACAGATGACATACATACTACGATGACACGTATGGTACAGGAATGTAATTGGAAGATTACTACGATAATTAATGGATTCGGCGAAATTCAATTGCTTTAATTCAAATAATATATTTATAAATTTATTATATATGTACAAAAATTAAATTCAGAGTTCAATTTTTCCCACTTAATGTCTCGTTTCTCGCGTAGCAGAATTATATTCTTCTCCTGGACTAGAGAATCCGAATGTGGGTTCGACTTTTGCACCTATAGTGTATTTGTGTTATGAAATTCATTAATTATGTATAAATTTAAAACCCAATTATTAACAATTGAAATCATCGTTCTAAAATTCATAACTTATAAAATTAAAATTTTTGCTCCGCCTCTACTCCTGGAAGATGATAATGCTCTTCGTCACATTCCTAATATTATTTTTTTAAGATAACGAAGATAGAAAGCAAGCAAGGAAGAAAATCTAGTTGAGATGCTTCTAGCTAACAATGATGTCTTCTCCCTTGTCATTTAACACAAAAAGGGAACATATAAATTTAGCCTCTTCAATCAAATATTAGAGATGAATTCCCTTAATTGAGGGCATGCCCACTTCATGTAGCTGATAATGAAATGAAACAGATCACCCTATCCATTTGGAAATATTTTCATTTTAGACGTTTCTGAATTGTTTTATTCTGAATTCAAACTTAAAGAAATGATATCAATTAGATCGAGTCATAACATGGAAAAACCAAGCTCGGGAATTTGCATGGTGCCGTCGATTTATCTTTTGCAATTAAAAGTTGAAACGCTCACAGATTCCTTAACTAGAGGTCTCGGGTTCGAGCCTTTGGTATGAAAAAACCCTTGATAAGGAGTGCTTCTTCCGGTGTAAATTCAGTTATAATCGGGCTCCAATACGAATACCGAACATCGGGTGAAAAACCAAACAAAAAAAAACACAAGTCTATTCCCATGCAAAAAAAAAGAAGAAGTAAATTTGTGAGTATTTTGTATGACAAAGTTATTTTTTATAACGTTATTTTCTAGTATTGATTATTAGATAAATATTTTCTGTCAAAATGGAGTAAAATGATTTCTTTCTTTTTCTTTTATGGACGGAAGTCATTTTCCTAATTACATTCATCTTAACTTTCAATTTAATTTACATTACATGCTCTAACCAATAGTATACACATATTATTACTCTTTAATATTCAAAAAATTCATCAGAACACTCTTCAATTTGCTAATATTACTATTAATACTTAATATCTTTTTTCATGAAAATATTTTCTACTCATCAACTAATTCCAACAAATATTTTTTTGAAATTAAACTTATAGAAGCATAATATAAGTCAGAAGTTGTTATCTTTTTCGGGTTTTCTTCAAAGGATAATAAATCGAGTTATAACATAAAAAAATCAAGGCTTTGGAATTTATTCATATGCAAAAGAAGATGAAAATAGATCTTTTGAGTGTGTTTGATACGACGGAAGTTATTTTTTCTAAAAATATTATTTTTTGGCATCTGGTCATCGGGAAAACATTTTCCGTTAAAATTAATGGCTTACAATGATTTCCATTTTTTCGTAGAGCTACTAAACTGATTTTCTTCATTTGTGGACGGGAGTCATTTTCTAATTACAGCTATTTTAAATCTCAATATCACGTTAAATGGCCAACCAACAGTTTATACATTATCATTAATATTTAATATTCAAAGATTTCAGCAAAGTACTCTTTATTTTGCTTTTATGCATACATACATACATACATACATACATACATATATANAATATTTTTCACTATATACATATACAAATTTTGAGGAAAACATATTTTTATGGAAAATGACTTTGGTCACATGTAAAAACATTCTAAAAGTATGTTAGGCAACCTTTGAAAACAAGCATTAATTAATAGTCAAATGAATAAAGGATACTTAATTTGGGAAAGAATATGCAGTTGAACGTCATATGGAATTCGCTTTTGTTCATGAACCAAATTTAGACTACAGATATAACTAACCATTTGAATTGATATTCTTGGCCTGCATTGCATATGCTTTTTCTTTCCATTTATTAGGATGTGATATTTCACAGTTACTCTGCATCTGACCACTCTCTCATTTATTTCCTTTTGATTCTTCTAAGCTCCTCGTTAAATTACTTACATTTCTTATCGTTTTTTAAAAAATTGGATGTGCTTGTCATAAGTGAAAGTTATTATAATCATCGTTGCAAAAATTGAAAAAATATAGGTGATAACTACTTTTTTCGCTACCTGTAACTATTATTATTTCAAAAAAAAAATTGAGGCAAGAGATCAACGAGCATCCACGTCAATATATAATAATTTCTTAGAGTCAGAGTATCAATATCCATACTGATATATATATATATATGTATGTATGTATATATATATATATATATATATATATATATGTATGTATGTATTTAGCCTAACTTAATCCTAAAATCGTCTTCATGGCCATTTATAATGTTGAAAAAAAAGTCTTCTTTTTAGATCTCTTATATATAAAAGATAGATCTTTTATATCAAAGCAAATCTCCCGCGTGAAAATAAAAATAAAAATAGGGTCACAAAACAAAACATAAGTTTATAAAAAGTGTACATGAGATATATCTTATTTATTTGATTCACCTTAAATTTAGAAGAGTACAAAGTATCGTAAAGGGGTCAATTGGTTTTGTGACTCTTTATAAACTTGTTTTTAGTTTTATGACCCTACCTCTTTTTTACACATGAGAGATTTAGTGGGTACTTGGACATAACAACATCAACAACAACAACAACAACCCAGTATAATCCCACAAGTGGGGTCTGGGGAAGGTAATATGTACGCAGACCTTACCCCTACCCCGAAGGGTAGAGAGGCTGTTTCCAGGAGACCCTCGGCTCAAAAAGCAACAAAAGCCGATATATTGGTACTTGGACATAAGAATTGTGAAATTCCAGCAAAAAAGTGAAAAAAAATTCAAGTGAAAATGGTATTTGAAACTTAGAGTTTTGTCTGGACATGAATACAATTTGAAGCTGTTTCTGAATTTTTGTGAGTGATTTGAAGTGAAAATCTTGAACAACGGCTTTTTGGAGTTTTTAAAATCTTCGAAATTCATCTTCAAGTGAAATTTAAAATTTTCATGGCCAAACACTTATTCCGAAAAAAAGTAAATTTTTTTTTTAAAAATGAATTTTTTTATGGCCAAACGAGCCCTTATTTTTACCCGTAAGATATATGTCTTTTACATATAAAATATCTAAAAAGGTGTTTTTCTTAATTTTAAAATTATAAAGAAACATGATGTACAAATAGCACCGTACTATACCAAGACAATGCGTTTTCTAGATAATATTAACTACTTAATTATAGTTAATTACTTTATATTTATGATACTTGATTGGACATGAAACTTTAAAGTGAAAAAGATTTAAAATATACGGATGAATATTATTTAACCGAACTGAAAAGGCAATAATGCAACGTAACAGCTTGTTTGGATGATTGTTACGTATCGTTTCATAATGTATCGCATCGTACTGTATTGTATTGTACTGTATCGTTTGATAAATACAATATTTGGATAGATTGTGTTGTTTGCCATCGTTTCATAATATCATGCACCAGTAATATGAAGAATAAACTTGTAATATTATTAAAAAAAATTATGATACAGGATAAAATTACTATATAAAAAGGCAGGGTAAATGATAAAAATAAAATAATTTAATAATAATAAAGGGTGAGATTGAGAGAAAAAGATAAGGTAACGACACGACCACACCAAATCGGTTGTTACATAAAATGACACATTTCGACGTTATGTAACGACGGATTCAAGGATACGATACAATAAAATTTAAGTAACAATCAAAATAAATATTATATTTAAAGTAACAATACCATATGATACAACGGGTAACCATCCAAACAAGATGTAACATGAAACAAAACGCCTAATATATTGTATTCTTATGGTTGATTATTTTATTACATTATGGTAAATTAACAGGTTATGTTAAACACATTTTGTTTTTTTTTTCCCAAACATCGTCCGAAGAACAAATGGTTTGAATCATTTGTACATAATACTTATAAGGTAATTTGGGTGATATGATCCAGATGAAAGAGGAAGAAGAAAGATTTCTGCAATCTTCTCTTCTCCTTTCTTCTTCCTCGCACATCATTTCATGTATCACGTTTCCTATCTCTATATATGTATATTTATTTAAAAATATCCAATAGGAAACGTAAAAACACGAGGTAAATATCACCGCCGTCGCCGCCGTTCTCCTCCACCCCGGGTCCTTCTCCGTCATCGTCATCCGCCGCGCCCTCGCCAAAAGTTCGTTTTTCCTCCTATCTCACAGCTTGCGCGCGTTTACTTAAATTGATTTTTTGAATTGAGTTTGAATTTTGTTACTTTATTTTGTAATGTTGTTCTTTTATGAATTGCTGATTGTTTTTTCGTTATTAATATCTCTGTTTCTGTTTATAGACATTGTTTAACATTTAGGCATTCCAAAAGAATCCACATTGTTTCATTCCTATACAATTTTCAGCTTTCGAGAATTCAAACTTGTAAATTTGATCAAATTTTATATGATGTTTTCATTGTTAAACAACTTCTCATGATACCGTATATAATCTTTTTTTTTTTTTATGACAGCAGACTCGGGCCAGCTTGCGCGCATGTTAAATTATTCCACTAGGTACCTGCAGGCGTAACTGGTAAAGTTGCTGCCATGTGACCAGGAGGTCATGGGTTCAAGCCGTGGAAATAACCTCTTGCAGAAATGCAGAGTAAGGCTGCGTACAATAGACTCCTTGTAGTCTGGCCTTTCCTCGGACCCTGCGCAGGGCGGGAGCTTAGTGCACTGAGCTGCCCTTTAAGTCGAATTAGCATATTAAACTATGTGTCTTGTTAAATACGTGTTAAATAGCTGGGCGGAGTAAATATGCTTATTGCATTTGATAAAAGTTTGTTAACTTTGTTGCCATTAGAGGCTTTCAATCGAAATTGCATTGTACCTGAGCTTCTTAACAAATCGTTCAGTCAATGCGCTTTGCTAATAGCTTAATATTTCATCAAATCCCGTTGTCTCTCGTATTTAAGTGTAATTACTAAACTTACAGATTATTGACATCCTAGATATAATATCTTTTCATGGTTCGGACCAGTAGCTGATTGAACGCATGGGTTTCTACTTGAACTCTATATATGTATTAAGAAGATAAATATGTATATATATATATATATATATATATATAATTTTTTAACTCATAGTGTTTTAATCCTGATTCCATCAGAGGCTGACCGACTCCTCTGGTTCTTTGCTTTTTTTTGCCCCTTTCTTTTTGTCACAACCAAGTTGTCTTGTTTCTTTTCTGTATTAGCAAAACGAAAACTAGTTTGACGAAGTTGTTGTACTAGATGTATGAAGTTGGTATCAATCATGTGGAAGATAGTTTGGAGCATCCGCCTTCATCTGCTGCAGCTGAGTGCCAGGAATCAATTGATACAGTTAGAAAAGAGGGGCAAAGTGGACAAACTCAACAAGAAAGGAGAAAAAGGAAGTTGCCGTCAAAGGTGGAAAGTCTCTCCTTTTATTGTGGAAAATCTCTCTTTTTAACTGTCTGAGGCTTTTATCTTAGCAGTCTTTAATACTGAGTTTGTTTGTGTCGTTGACTTCAATGGTGGGTTATGTGCTGATTTTTTTTTCCCAATCAAGGATTGAAGTGACTTAGGCTTCAAGATAGTTACTAAAATGAAGATTGACAAATTAGGGGGGGGGGGGGG